TACCTCATGTCGGCGTCGACCAAGGTTTTGATGACATAATAGATCGGAGATTGTGTACCTTTGTTGTCGCGGACCAGTACTGCGCTTACCGCGACTTCCGGAACGGCCAGGTAGACTAGGAGGCGCTCGCCAGGTTCTGCTTTAGCGAGTAGTGGGGGCGAGGACAAGTATGTCTTTAGCTCTCTCAGGGCCTCGATGCATTGTGAATTCCACTGGAGCCCGTTGTCTTTTTTCAGCACATTGAAAAACTTGTGGCATCTATCGAATGACCGTGAGATGAATCTCGTTAGGGCAGCTATCCGGCCAGTCAGCTTTTGCACCTGCTTTTTGTTGGTTAATACTTCAGGTATTCCTTCGATGGCCTTGATCTGGTCTGGGTTGACTTCGATGCCTCTTTGTGATACCAAGAAATCGAGAAATTTGCCTGAGGTTACGCCGAAGGCGCATTTTTCGGGATTTAGTTTCATGTCGTACCCTCTTAGTATGTTGAAGGCCTCTGTAAGGTGGTCGATGTGGTCTTCTTTCCTTTTTGATTTGCCAATATGTCATTGATGTAAACTTTTGGGCATGCCTTGTTTAGGTCCGTAAAGTCTATGCACATCCGCCATTTCCCGTTTTTCTTTTTTACCATGACCACGTTGGCGACCCATTAGGGGTATTTTGATTCTCGGATGGAACCGTTGGCAAGGAGCTTATCTACTTCGTCACTTACGGCCTCGTTGATTGCGGCATTGAATTTCCTTATTATTTTTTGTACTGGTGGATAGAGCGGGTCGACATTCAACTTGTGTGTAGCGATGTCTTTCTTGATGCCCAGCATATCTGAGTGGGAGAAGGCAAACAAATCAACATTGTCAATTAAGAATTTATGAAACGTACCTGGTTCTGAGAGATTGTGCCCGATGTAAGACTTTTTTTGTGTTGTCGCTATTTTTTAGTTGGACGGGATCGAGATCTTCTATTGTCGACTCACCGGCTTCCATGATGTTGGGATCCTTGATAACATCTGTTTGTGCGTCGGATTTGGTTCCCGACATCGCTAATTGCTATGCCTCCACGTTTGTTCCCTTTAGTTGTTGGGTGTGTGTGAAATCTTGGGCGATACGATAGCATTCTTGAGCAGTGCGTTGTTCGCCTCGGATGCTGAATATTCCCCATGGAGTAGGGAACTTGATTACTTGATATAGGCTTGACGGGATGGCCCTCATGGCGTGTATCCATGCCGTCCTATGATGGCGTTGTAGGCTGTATCTTGGTCCATGATACGAAACGTAGTTTCTAGGGTGACTCCTCCGGCCAAAACGGGTAGCGTTATTTCTCTAGAAGTTCGCTCAACTGCATTATTAAAACCCATTAGTGTTATGCAACGCGGTATTATCTTTTCCTCGAGTCGCATCTGTACGAGGACTCGAGGATGGATAATTACACGCGCCGCTTCCGTCGTCTACCATTATTCTTTTCACATCAGTATCTAAAATAGGTAAAGTAATAACAAGAGCATCGTAATGAGGGAAAGTCAAATCGCCGGTATCTAACTTATCAAAGATGATACTGTCTTTGAGGTCATTATACCGTTCGTGGGTGATCGACCGCTTAAGTTTGTGTGTAGTGGTGAATTTCACATGGTTGATCGTTGCCTCGTCACCTCCACTGATGATTATTTGGACAGTATGAGTAGGGGAGGGTGGCTTTGGAGGCCTGTGGTGCTGTTCACGTTCGCGACCAAAGTTGGCTCGTCCTCGGTCGCTCATTGGTTCTCTCAGGTCCCTTGGTTCAGCATTCACACTACCTCTTACCGTAGACCTATGCAGTCCTCGGTTTTGTGACCCCGCTCCTGGTGAATTCATAGAGGGCGTCCGACTTTCGAGTATTCGGGTCGGACTTCATCTTTTGCGGCCATTTCAGCTTCGTGCCGAGCTTCTCTAGTGCATACACTATTTCTGAAGGGGGGACAAAAAAATTGTGAGCATATAAGAGCGAAGGCATACCTCTTTCGTTTCGTTGAGTCCCGGTGTGCGACATGGGAGGCCCTTCCATGTGCCGAGGAGGTGGCAGGACGGCTGTTCGGATATAGGGCTGATGTCTTTCTTGGTCGAGACGGGGACCCAACTGATCCCTTCAACCGTCGTTACGTTGACCTTTCCTCGATTCTTCTTGAACTGACATTAGTCGTTGGATCGGACCGTTGAGATCATCCTCATCGGCTCTCACCTCGACGCAATAGGCATTGTGGATTTCTTCCCAAGTGGTGGGGGGGGGGTAATTTCATGAGCCTACCTAATAGTTTTCTAGTTGCTCTCGACCCGTTCCTGCTCAACCCGTTCTGGAAGGCTGCTACCGCCATCCATTCTGATACATTTGGTAGGCTCATTCTCACCCTGTTAAAACTGGCGAGGAAGTCCCTGAGTCCCTCTCCAGGCGATTGCCTAACGGCGAACATGTCATTCACCTTGGCTTCCGCCTTTTTAGCCGATGCATGAGCGGTGACAAACTTGTCGGCCATTTCCTCGAACGTTGCTATTGACCGTGCCGGCAGTAGTGAGTACTAGGTTAGGGCTCCCCATGTTAGGGTTTCTCCGAACTTTTTCAGTAGCACCGATGGAACTTGCTCCTTCGAAAGATTGTTGCCCTTTACCGTTGTGGCGTAGTGGACGATATGATCTTCTAGGTCTGTAGTGCCATCGTATATTTTCAAGCACAGTGGCATTTTGAAGGTATTGGGAATGGCTTGGGGAGCTGCTTCCTCGCTGTACGGCTGTTCGATGAATCGACCAACGTCTTGTTTCGGTAGCAACTTTGGGGCGCCTGGTATCTTGTCGACCCTTTCTTGATGCTCCTTCACCTGGTCACGGAGTGCCTTGTTTTCGTTTTCCATATCTTCCATTTTCTTTAGAACTGCGAGTGCGTCGTTGCCTGCATCAGCAGTGGTGGTGTAAGTGTTACCTGTTTGGGGGACGGGCTGTTCGCCAGTTGTTGTTGTGATATCTACTCGTGCGGTGTTTCTGTTCTCCCTTTGGACAGGTTTGTCGAGTATGTTGTTTAGATTACTTATCAGCCACCCTTCCAGTAGATTTTTCACTGCCGGTGGTGCTTCCTCAGTTATTGACGTGGAGGCTCCTCTTTCGCGTGAAGCTGTTACGCTTTCGCGAGGGGGGAGGTGAGACGCTCTGCCTGGGCGTAGTATTTGGTGTCGCGTTCTCGTTGTCTTCCCTGCCATCTTCGTTGATGGTGTTCAAGATGTTGGTAGTGACACCTACTATCGTTTTCAACCTCGCATCTTCTTTTCCTGCCATTGTTAGTTTGTACAAACAAGGAAGAGATGTCTTTTTTTTTATGATCTAGAAAGAACTATAGTTTCAATTAAAAAGCTCCCCACAGACAGCGCCAAATTATTTTAGCAAATAATTACTAAACCAATCAAGAATAAATTAATAGGGTGAATCTCAGTTGAACTTAATAAATCTTAGACCAAACAAAATAAAGTTCTTGTATGACGACATGGGGTTAGGAACAATTAATAGCGAATTTAATATGCTATGATTGGCAAGACATACAATATCATAAATGTACAATAAATGCGAGAATGATAAGGGTTATAGTGTAAAAGAATCGTTACCCAATGATTGTGCGATTGGGTGTTTCCTTTCTCTGACGACGTGGAAAGGTAAGTAATCAATCTGAGTTATGGGATCTTGAGATTTGTGGATAAAGATTGATCAACATGTGCTTGAATAAAGAGAATAAGACAACTCTTTCGTATATTATTCTATCAACTTTACAATATGTCTCAGTTCTCAAAAAGGACAGATCCCCCTTTGTTCTCCATCTCCTCCTATTTATAAGGAACATTCCCCAAAAAAATCATAAAAAGTACAACATAAAGAATATCCAAAGGAATATTCTTCATGTCTATTTCTGAGTTTGAGTTACCGTTACTATCTTATATTAGCTGCCCGCTTCTAGTCGTCTGCCTACGTCTGGACGGCCATCAGTCTTTGTGTCGTAGTCAACCCCGTCTTATATTTTGCTTATCCGTTATCATAGTTATCAAATTTGGACCTATACAATAACAACCCTCCAAACAAGCTGTTAATTGCGTCTACCTCATTCATTTTAATACCGTCATTCACCCTGATTTCACGCCAATATATCAATATATTTAAAAATCGGCTCAAAAAATAAACAAACCATCTCAAACCATAGTCTTATATTATCACGTGCTACTTACACCCTTTGTCATAAAAATTGAGACACGTCAATATTCGAACCTAAGAATAGTGCTGGAAATGGACTGACTTCTCCCATTCTATTTAAAGGGTGGTGGGGGACACTTGTTGCCTCTTTGAAATGAAAGAAAAAACAAAGTATAATAGTGCATGGGTTCCACAAAATTCAAGATGTGTTTAAAATAGTGAATTTGATTTTTCCCTATCAGAAAAAGATATTACTATAAAAAAACAAAGTTAGTGCTAGTATCAACTATCAACAGAACAGAAATGAAAGGCTGTTAAATTTGAAGCAAGACAGCAAATCCCCACCATTGCAAATCTCGAGAATTGACACACAATAAAGGAAAAAGTGTCAAATATACCCATCATCAGTAAACATTTAAAAATTACCTTTAATTTTTTCTCTTATTTTCTTTCTCCAATTCAGAAAACACGTAAATACCAATTATTATGAAAATAGTGGACTAAGAAGAAGAATCAATAACTTAATTAAAATAATTTGGGAGATTGTGGGTCACCTGACGGACTAAGGGGTATTTTTAAAAGTTTACTAATTGTAGGGATAAATTTTACCAGATAGTATAATGATAACGGTAATTTGACCAAGATAATATAACAAATGTTAAATATAAACAATATTTGAAAATAGAAAGATATATTTAACCCTTTTTCCGGACAATAAAATACAGTTGGTGCTAAGTTTAATTTTCTCCCCAAACCCAAAAAGTAAAAGAAAGTCTAAAAATTCTCTATTTAAAAACATGACTTTCACTTACGTCCAATTTATCCACTCATTCTCTCCACCTCAGCTTCTGTACTAGTAACCACACTTCCCTCTTTTTTCTCTATACTGTACTGTAACCACTTGCACTTTCACCCTTCTTCTTCTTCTTCTTCTTATATGATACTTCACTCCATTATTATTATACTTGCCGCCTATATTCTGCAGCTCCACAGGTTCTCTAATGGCATTTTCTATTCTGTACTTTTTCCTTTCTTTTTTCGCAATTACAGTTTCAGTTTCATCAACTGTGAATAACCCAAAAACATTTATAGTTCACGTTCAACACGATGCAAAACCTTCGATATTTCCAACCCATGAGCACTGGTATGAATCGGTTCTTATATCTCTCTCTACAGATACACACTCACTGGAACCAGGTGGGGTTGTGTCTGAAAATCGTATTATTCACACTTACAGTAATGTTTTTCATGGCTTTTCTGCTAAATTATTGATTTCGGATGCTAAAAAACTTGAGGCATTACCTGGGGTTCTTGCTGTTATACCTGAACAAGTTAGGCATGTGCAAACCACGAGATCCCCTGAATTTCTAGGCTTGACTAGTACGGACAGTGCTGGGCTGCTTAAGGAATCGGATTTCGGGTCGGACCTTGTAATCGGAGTAATTGATACAGGGATCTGGCCTGAGAGAAAGAGCTTTAATGATCATGATCTTAGTCCGGTTCCGGCTAAATGGAAAGGCGAATGCGTGGCTGGCAAAGACTTTCCGGCGACTTCATGCAACCGGAAATTGATCGGAGCCAGATATTTTTCCAGTGGATATGAGGCTACGAATGGGAAAATGAACGAAACTGTGGAGCATCGATCTCCTAGAGACTCCGATGGGCATGGGACCCATACAGCCTCAATTGCCGCAGGGAGGTACGTATTTCCGGCGTCTACTCTCGGATACGCGCGTGGAGTTGCTGCTGGAATGGCTCCAAAAGCTCGTTTAGCCGCTTACAAAGTATGCTGGGCTTCAGGCTGCTACGACGCTGATATCCTCGCTGCTTTTGACGCCGCTGTTGCTGACGGTGTTGACGTCATCTCTTAATTACATACTCAATCATACACATTCATTTGCATATCATATCTCAGTCTCTGTTACCATTTATTGATACATCACATCATTATTTTTGGGTTGATTTTTCATGACATTGTGAGCCCGAGACACTGGAGAGATTGATGACTGAGTGAGGCCGAGGGCCTGATTGTGAGGATATTGATGGGATCGGGCTGCACGCCGCAACATGTATTATTGATTCATGATGGTCGGGCTGCAAGCCATAATAGACTTTATTAATTTATGTCCATGATTGGCTTATTATACTGCTTGGGATGGATCTGCCCCTCTGAAGTTTGCACTCTCATAGTGAGCATATGTACCTACTGAGTGAGAGTGCCGAGTGATTTGGATGATTGAGTNCCCGATACAGCCTCAATTGCCGCAGGGAGGTACGTATTTCCGGCGTCTACTCTCGGATACGCGCGTGGAGTTGCTGCTGGAATGGCTCCAAAAGCTCGTTTAGCCGCTTACAAAGTATGCTGGGCTTCAGGCTGCTACGACGCTGATATCCTCGCTGCTTTTGACGCCGCTGTTGCTGACGGTGTTGACGTCATCTCTTTTAGTGTTGGTGGCGTTGTGGTACCGTATAACCTCGACGCAATCGCCATTGCCGCCTTCGCTGCTAATGATGCCGGAATCTTCGTCTCTGCTTCCGCCGGTAACGGCGGGCCTGGAGGACTCACAGTAACTAATGTAGCTCCTTGGGTCACCACCGTCGGTGCCGGAACAATTGACCGTGATTTCCCGGCGGATGTGAAACTTGGAAACGGGAAAATAGTTCCCGGAGTAAGCATCTATGGTGGCCCTTCGTTATCTCCTCACAAACTCTACCCGCTAATTTACGCCGGGAGTGAAGGTAGTGATGGATATTCGTCTTCATTGTGTTTGGAAGGTTCATTAAACCCTAATGACGTTCATGGCAAAGTTGTGTTATGTGACAGAGGCGTTAATTCGAGAGCTGTAAAAGGCGAAGTGGTGAAGAAAGCAGGTGGAATAGGGATGATATTAGCCAATGGAGTTTTCGATGGGGAAGGATTAGTGGCTGATTGCCACGTGTTACCGGCAACGTCAGTTGGAGCTTCCGCCGGAGACGAAATAAGGAAGTACATATCTACAGCATTAAAGTCCAAGTCACCCCCAACGGCGACGATTCTTTTCAGAGGCACAATTGTAAATGTGAAACCAGCTCCAGTAGTAGCGTCATTTTCAGCCCGAGGCCCAAATCCTGAAACACCGGAAATTCTAAAGCCCGACGTAATTGCACCTGGATTGAATATTCTCGCAGCTTGGCCCGATGGGGTCGGGCCGAGTGGGATTCCATCGGATAAACGGAGAACAGAGTTCAACATTTTGAGCGGGACCTCCATGGCGTGCCCCCATGTATCTGGGCTGGCAGCATTGTTGAAGGCGGCCCATCCGGGATGGAGCCCGGCGGCAATAAGATCGGCATTGATGACAACTGCATATACAGTGGATAATCGGGGTCAAGTTATGATCGATGAATCTACTGGTAATTCATCGACAGTGATGGATTTTGGGGCAGGACATGTGCATCCTCAAAATGCAATGGACCCTGGTTTGATTTACGACTTAACTTCATATGACTACGTCGATTTCTTGTGCAATTCAAATTACACAACCAAGAATGTTCAAGTTGTCACAAGGAAGTATTCAGATTGTAGCGGGGCAAAAAGAGCAGGCCATGCAGGGAATTTGAATTACCCTTCGCTATCAGCTGTGTTTCAACAATATGGAAAGCACAAGTTGTCCACTCACTTTATTAGGTCTGTGACAAACGTGGGTGATCCAGATTCTGTGTTCAAGGTGACAGTGAAGCCGCCGCGGGGTATGGTGGTGACAGTGGAGCCGGAGAAATTGGCGTTTAGGAGAGTGGGACAGAAGCTTAATTTTCTGGTAAGAGTACAAGCTGAAGCAGTGAAGTTATCACCAGGGAGTTCAATTGTGAAAAGTGGTTCATTAGTTTGGTCAGATGGAAAGCATGAGGTGAAAAGTCCAATAGTTGTAACAATGCAGGAGCCTCTGTGATGAAAGAACTTAACATTTTGGGAATTAAGTGTCTGTTCTTGAGGATTAATATGGATCCTTAGTGCTAACAAATCTTGGATATCTTGTGAAAAGAATATGTATAAGAGGAGGAGAGTGTCCTCTACTCTCCTATTTTAGTTCTTGATCATAAGCAACTACTGTGTTTATTAAGTATGTTGACAAGGAAGTTTGAAAAGGTGAAGACTTGGGAGTTGGTTGGTTGCCCTGGCAATCTGAGTTCGACAAAAGGAAGCATATCTCATATATTGTGTTTGGTTTCTTTGTAGCATTATATTAGTAATATTGCAAAATGCTTTGTACAAATGTTGGATGTTTTTATTATGTTGAGGGTGAGTTCAATTTGAACATAAAACCTAAGAAGTTCAAATATAAAGTGGGGACTCTGTGGTTCTTGCTTAATTCATACTACTACTTATTTGCACTCGGTGCAATTGAAGTAGAAAGGAAAGCCCGTTAAATGATAACTGTTCTTTTACTCTTGACCAAAGATTTAATGCTCGAGCTTTGAAAATCCATGATAAGCAGTGCCAAAACTTCAATGGTGAGCTTTCTAATGGACAGGCCGGTGCACTAAATTTTCGCTATGTGCGAGGTTCGTGAAAAGGCCGAATACAAGGATCTCTTGTACGCACGATGCACTGCATTCCCGATATGTGCGGGGTCCGTGAAAGGGCCGAATACAAGGATCTCTTGTACGCACGCAGCCTTACCCTGCGTTTCTGAGGTTGTTTCCACGGCTCGAACCGTTGACCTCCTGATCACATGGCAGCAACTTTACCAATTATGCCAAGCTTCCCATCTTCCCCTTCGATGGTGAGCTACTTTCTATTGTGCAAAAATCATTAGTCGAACTTGTGGATTCCGAAAAAATTGGTAGTAGAAAGGATATTCAAGAGATTTTGGTCAATGCAATGTTGGGTTAGGTGACTTTTACACGGTTGCAAAGAAAAAGCAAACAGTAAGACCAGCTTATAGAAGGAAACAAAGATATGGGCATGGGCAAAATAGGACAATGCGACAAAAAAGATAATCATGCGTTGTGTAAACCAACTATGCCCAAAAGTGACAAAACCATATTCATTTGGGGAATTTGCATCTATACCTGTTTTTGGGTCACCTTTTAATTTATATCCGCTTTGCAAAAAAATTATAAGTGACCCACTTTTCGTGTAACTTCAAACATACGAGCCTAAAGTAGCAAGAATTTATATCTGAAGTTTGAACTTCAGAATGTTTTGCCTGAAGTGTAGCAAAACTTCAGATATTTTTGCATGAAGTTTGGCCTGACTTGCAAAGGCAATCACGCAAACTTCAATTCATAGTGCAAATGGCAAACTTCAGTTCAATAAAAGTACAGCATGTTTTGGCTGAAGTCTTTATTTGTAATTGCTGAACTTCAGCATTCTAGTAGCTGAAGCTTTGTTCTATATTTGCGGAACTTCAGCATGTTTTAGCTTAAGCTTTGTTCTGTTTGTGATGAACTTCAGCATTCTGATGTTTGTTTTTTATTTGCTGAAATTCAGCATTCTTAGAGCTGAAGCTCTAAACAATAATGAATTTAATAAATCATGATTAGCAGCGATTGATGCTGTTCATTTCAAAGATTAAAGAATAAAAAATATTTTCGACATGAAAACAAGTTACTACAGATAAATTAGAACCAATGTACTTGTAAAGTTAAAATATCTAAGAGGTTAAATTATTGTGAATAAAACCAAACTGAACATAATGGGACAAGCCGATATATATGAATCAGCATGTCAGAACGCATAACAATATCTCAACTTCAGCATTCAGAAAACAAAGGAGGAGAAGGAGGAGGAGAAAGAAGCCTGGAGTTGCTAAAACAGTGGGTACAAGTTAAAACTTTTTAAAAAAAGTGAGTATAAATTAAATGGGGGCGACCAAATAAGACCCTCTACAATTTTTACTATTCATTTGCGTGGTCTCTGTGCTGCCCTTCCATTACTAGGCTGCTAATTAGGTTAGCCATAATAGTAACCTTCCAATTAATTAGACGTTTCGTTTGGGACCCAGTGCCACCCACTATTCATGATCATCTTTCGATGACTTCGGGCTCGTTTGGTAAACAGGGATAAGGAATAATTAATTTCGGATTAAATTTAAGAAGAGTTTATCCATAGTTGAGAAAACATAATGGTATAATTAATTCCGGGATTATTTATTTTGGAATTAGTATTTTTTTATCTCTATAAAAAGGTGGAATAATTAAACCTAAAATAATTAATCTGCGGATAACTAATCTTAGAATAACTTCTTTCCAACCAAATGACTCCTTAGTGTTTGGTTGATGTAAATGGTCACAGGTGAGCTAATTTGTGTATACAATCTAGCTTCACGAAAGCTACTTAAGTCAATAACTTTCTTGATTTTGGGCATACGGAGAGTTTGTATGCAACAGACCCAATTTTAGATAAGATGTATGATGGGCCATAACAGGTAAACTGGAGACTTGATATTAGTCTGGCCCAGTAAGCAGGATCTCTGTAGCATTCTCATCAAGTCCAAGTCCAAGTCCAAGTTCTTATTTTGCAGTTCATTCATGTAAAAATAGCGGGGGTAGCCACTATTTAAGGTGATATTTTATTTTTTATCCAACATTCTAATGTTGAGCAAAAATAGCCACTACTCTATTAAAATTAATATGAAAAGATATTTTTACCATTTCTTCCATTACTTTTCTTCCCAAACCTTCGCTTCTCTCTCTGCATCGAATATATTGGCTCTGGTTTCTTGATTAAGAACTAAACAAGCTGGGCGTGGCTCTTGCAGAGGAAGTTAGTTCATTTAATCTATAATTTTTAGCTGAAAAATACAAGAAAAGGAAAAGAAAAACACAAACAAGTGTTTTTTCTCTGTTTGAGATATCCACAAACAAAAATTAGTGCAAATGGGGTATTTGTTGAAAGAGGTTCTGAAGACACTTTGTGGAGTGAATCAATGGTCTTATGCTGTTTTTTGGAAGATCGGTTGCCGGAATACCAAGTGTCTTATTTAAATGAATCAAATGGTCCCAAACTTAGCATTGGAAGTTCAAAAATTAAGGACACTTGGTCCTTAACTTAGAGTTACAAGCACAGAAATTAAAGACAGGCAGTCCTTAACTTAGAGTTACAAGCACTTAAATTAAGGACAAGCAGTCCTTAACTTAGAGTTACAAGCACAGAAATTAAGGACATGTAGTCCTGAACTTCGAGTTCCAAGTTCAAAAGTTAAGGACATGTAGTCCTGAACTTAGACTTACAAGCTCATAAATTAAGGATGGCTAGTCCTGAACTTACAGTAACAAGCTCATAAATTAAGGACAGTTAGTCCTGAACTTATAGTAATAAGCTCATAAGTTAAGGACACTTGGTCCTGAACTTTATGAGCAGAAGGGTATTTTTGTCAGGGAGGGTAAATTTTATTAAAGCAATGGCTAAGACTAAAGATATTTTAAATAGTAGCTTAAAAATAAATACATATATTATTAGTGGCTAACTGTGCACTTCCCCCTACATTCATCTGTCGCCTAATACATTACTGCATTAAATCCAATTTGATGGGCCGAGAAATATAAAGGGCCTCCCTTTGTAATTGATGTTTTTTTTAGAGAATTTTTCATAAAGCACCATCTTTTAGGTCTAATTAGCCATTTATAGATACCCTTTGCTATATTACGTGTTATAGATACCTTTTATGTTTTTATACAATGTACTTCATGTATTTAAGTTGTTGTATTCATTAATACAACCAAAAAAAATAGGTGTAAAAAGTGGAATTCCAGCTAAGTTTGACATGTATTTAGCTGTATTCAAGCGGCATTAACGTTAAATACAGTAACGTATCTGCGCAAAATCTGGAAGGTTAAACTGGTTAAAAACGGAAGGAAATCAAATCACATGATATTCTCCTAATTTAACTCAACGAACTAAAACGATCCCTCATTAATCTGATTTGAAAGATACATAATAAAGATTATAGCTGAATAAAGAGAAATACATATGAATAATACAGTTGAGTAGAACTGTATACAGTTGAATACAACAAAATACAACTTAATTCATCTGAATAAAACACTTGAATACAACAAAATATAATTGAATACAGCTGAATAAAACTCTTGAATGCAACAAAATACAACTAATTTCTGCTGAATAAAATAGTTGAATATAACTAACTACAACTGAATACAGTTGTATAAAACACTTGAATACAACTAACTAGTGCTGAATAAAATAGTTAAATACAACTGATTATAACTGAATACAAGAGAATACGCATAACTTTTTAATACATCTAAAATATATAAATGAATGCTCGCAAAATCTGGTTATGAGCTCGAACCAACCTCAGACTCGATCGAATTCCATAGCTTAAAAATAAAAATTTAGATGAAGAAGACAGAAATGTTTTTTGTTTTGTATTTTTTCATTTTTTCAAGAATTGGAACTAAGATTCAAAAATCGAAAATCAGCCGAGGAATTCCCGGTGAGTTTCTGGCGGAGACGAGGGGGGTTGAAGAAGATGGGTGGAGCGGCGGAGGCTGGTGGTCGTTGCCGAATTTTGGGAGTAGGCGTCTGGCGGCGGCTGCCTTAAGGATTAGGGGAGAAAGAGTAAAGTCTATGCAAAAAGAGAGAGAGAGAGAACGTGGTTAGTCAATTTTATGGTGATTATGTGAGAGAAAAGACTAAAAAGGAGAGAGAAAAATATTATTTAGCATATATGGTGTCTTAAATGTAGGATGTAACTATAATTAGATATTTGGCTATAAAGTATAAAAGGTATCTATAGGATGTAATATTTTAAAATGGTATTTATTTTAAATAAATAGGGTACTAAGGTTTTCTATAGGGTGTAAAAATTCCTTTAAAGGAATTTTACCTCCTATAGCAAAGGTTAACACCTTATATATTTTAAATAAATATCATTTAAAAAAATTATATTCTATAGATACCTTTTAATGTTTATAGCAAAATATCTAATTTTGGTTACCTCCTTTCCCTAAGCCACTAAATACACTATTTAGTTACACTATTTCTTTTCTCTCTCTACTTTGATATGTGTCATTCTTTTCCCCCATTCCCTGAATACACGATGCTCACATCACCTCTCTGCAGTCTGCACCAAAACCCCTCTTTGTTCTCTCCACAGAGAACTTCCCCTATTTCATACTATCCATTTTTACTTTATCCCAATTCAATTGAGAAGCGAGGAGTTGTTGACAGCATGGACTCGAAAACGATATGCTAGTTCTCTCCACAGAGAACTTCCCCTATCTCATACTATCCACCCCTCAACTATTCCTCTCTAGGCTCGTCGTGCTAACAGCTATGGGAATTATGATGGCCACTTGACACTGGCCATAA